ATATATATATCACACTAAGATGACAGAGTGTAACAAAAGTCTTTTATTTTAATCATATGGTGGCCCCTGTTTGGTAAAAATCACATAGCAATTAAAACATCAAGGACAATTCCAAATATGGGGGAACTGGAGTGGAGGATGAGAAATGACAAAGATAAAAATTCTAGGATGAGAATATAAGGCTGGGCCTTTTACTTTTACAAACATATAATTATAAAATGATGTCAACTTTTCACCATCTCTTTTCGAGTGTTTATAGAATGGAATTTCCATACGCTAGATATCATTTAATCTTATGGAATGTATACCATATGACACACCAAGGTATTAACAAATGTTAAATACTGATAACAAAAGTTAAATGGAACAGAAATGAAATTAATAGTTCTATTATCAAATAGATAATAGAAAAAAAGAAAAAAAGGTAACAGTAAAAGAAAGATAACAGAGGTCCTTCGACTTACCCAAGCAGTGTGCTCTTTCAAGTAACAGCCTTTGTACTCAATAGTATTAGGATGCTTCAATTGTCGTAAAAATTTAACTTCCTTAAGAATATCTTGCCATTTCTATTGAAGTCAGAAAGGAAACATTTTAATTTAATTTTTGATAGGAAAACAGTATTTCCTATCAAGCATACATATATATTATTTATATTATTATAAATGGACATAAAATAAATGTTTAATAAATGAAGAAGCTATTTAAACATGCTATTTATATCTCTTTTTTTTTTTTTTTAATTGAGACAGTGTCTTGCTCTGTTGCCCAGGCTGGAGTGCAGTGGCGTGATCTCTGCTGCCCAGTTCAAGGTTCAAGTGATTCTCGTGCCTTCCAAGTAGCTGGGACTACAGGTGTGCACCACCAGACCGAAGTAATTTTTTTGTATTTTTAGTAGAGATGAGGTTTCTCTGTGTTGGCCAGGTTGGTCTCGAACTACTGACCTCAGGTGATCCGCCTGCCTCAGCCTCCCAAAGTGCTGGGATCACAGGTTTGAGACACTGTGCCTGGCCTAAACATGCTATTTCTTTAGTTTGAATACATGTAAACACAAATCTATCACCAAAAACATTACAAAAAAGCCATTACACATACCTATGTTCTGGTCTACAAAATAGTTTTTTTTTCTCTTTTCAGGCACCCAGGCTAGAGTACAGTGTTGCAATCATGGCTCACTGAAGCCTTCATGTCCCAGGCTCAAGTAATCCTCCCAACTTCAGCCTCCCGAATGGCTGGACTATAGTCACACACCACCACACCCAGCTAGTTTTTTTGATGTTTTGTAGAGGTGGGGTCTCACCATATTGCTCAGGCTTGTCTTGAGCTCCTGGGCTCAAGTGATCCTCCAGCCTTGGCTTCCCAAAGTGCTGGGATTACAGGCCTGAGCCACCTCAACCAGCCTGCAAAATAGTTAATTGAGCTAGAACATTAGCCTTTTTAAAAATAATTATGAATGTTCACATATTTGTATGAAAAACTCCAGAATCTTTTATTATATGCTCCACAAGAAGGAAAAAAATTGTTCTAAAAACCGTTTAAAGAATTTTGTTAACTTCATACTAACTTGCTTATTTCAGTTTAGGTGTACAACTGTCTCTATCTTACCTCATGGGTCTGCTTCCCACTATAGGACATCTTCTTAATTGCCACCACTTCATTGGTATGAGCATTTGTAGCCTGTGTTAAGAGGGTAGAAGACAAAGAAAAAGAATTAGTGATGTTTCAGCCAATTTAACTTAAATATTTGACTAGAGACCATTTATTTATATATTTATTTATTGACAGTCTCACTCTGTCCCTCAGGCTGGAGTGCAGCTCACTGCAACCTACACCTCTTGGGTTCAAGCGATTCTCCTGTTTCAGCCTCCCAAGTAACTGGGATTACAGGCAGGCACCACCATGCCAAGCTAATGTTTTCGGTATTTTTAGTAGAAAGGGGGTTTCACCATGTTGACCAGGCTGGTCTTGAACTCCTGGCCTCAAATGATCCACCTGCCTCGGCCTCCCAAAGTGCTGGGATTGATTACAGGTGTGAGCCACTGCACCTGGCAGCTAGAGACTTTTTTGTTTTATTTTATTTTTGGAGACGGGAGTCTAACTGTGTCGCTCATGCCTGAGTGTACTGGCACGATCTCGGCTCACTGCAGCCTCCGCCTCCTAGGTTCAAGCTATTTTCCTGCTTCAGCCTCTCAAATAGCTGGGATTACAGGCACCCACCACTACGCCTGGCTAACTTTTGTATTTTTAGTAGAGACGGCGTTTCACCATGTTGGCTAGGCTGGTCTCAAACTCCTGACCTCACGTGATTCACCTGCCTCAGCCTCCCAAACTGCTTGGATTACAGACGTGAGCCACCGTAACTGGCCTGATATTATTATTTAAAATAATATCTCCGTACTGCAGTATCACAGTTCAAAGATGCTTCAATTTTTGATAGGCTAAATACACATTTCCACTCCCATTTTAATGTATAGTTTTTCTGTATCCTTTTCTGGATACATGCAAAGATTGTAATATAAAAAATGATTAGGGTTTAATATATCAAACCAAACAAAAAATGTCATATTCCCAAATTATCCATACTGGCTTCACCTTGTAGACTGTCCATCAATGGAGAACCAGTTAAATAAATAAATATGATATGACCATATAATGAAATAACCACTTAAGGAATGAGGTAATCTATGTGCAATGTAATATGAAAGGATGTCAAAAATGTTTTTGTCATAAACAAGCTATAAAGTAGAATCCAATTTTTGCAAAATAGTAATAATGTGAGTATATGTGTAGAAAAAAATCATAAAAGAATTTATACCAGAATATATATCAATGATAATCCCTGGAGCAGTGCTATCTGATAGAACTTTCTATGGTGATGGGACAGTTCTGTTTCTAGATTGTCCAACAGAGTAACATGTGAAATGTGGCTAGTATGACTGAGAAAATAAATTTAAAATTTTATTTAATTTTAATTAACTTAAATTTGAATAGTTAATGTGCCTACTTGCTATTGTATTCAACAGTATAGCAGAAAGTAAGATTAATCCTAAGGGGGACTCTCGTTTTCAGGATTACTTACATTTTATAATAAGACTGTATTACATATAAACATCTCTACATTTATGTATGTATATATGTGTATTTTTTATCTATAGAGGTTGCCTTGTCTCACGTCTACTTGTCTTCTCCAAACTCCAAATATAACTGTTCATTGAAAGTACACATGAAAACCATTAATAATTCAAGTAATAGTCTTTTCCTCTCAACTTACTCAAGATATACATACATATGTATACACACACACACATTTTTTTTTTTTTTAAAGACAGGATCTTGCTCTGTCATCCAGGCTGGAGTGCAGTGGTACAATCTCAGCTCACTGCAACTTCTGCCTCCCAGGCTCAAGTGATCCTCCCACCACAGCCTCTTGAGTAGCTGGGATTACAGGTACCCACCACCATGCCAGGCTAATTTTTATATATGTAGTAGAGACAGGGTTTCACCATATTGGCCAGGCTGGTCTCAAACTCCTGGCCTCAAGTAATCTGTCCGCCTCAGCCTCCCAAAGTACTGGAATTATAGGTGTGAGCTACTGCTCCCAGCCTCAGCTTATTTAAAATATTTAAAACTATTAGTTTTCTTAAAATTTTCATAAAAATAAATACAAGACATTAAAAGACTACCTCTGCATCAGTGCCATAATCCTAATGTAGGTAAGCTATTTTCCTTCTGTGATATTATTACCACTGTGGACCAATAAACCTATCGCAGTGGTTCTGAAGTAAAAGATTGGAATTCATTCACTGATAAAGTCAGGTTAACAATTTTAGAGAAAAATTCATAATCATTTTCTTAAATACAACTAATTTAAAATGAACCTCCTCAGATAAAACAATGGTTTATGATTTTTAAAAATGGTTAATTCAAACAATAAACAATAATGTCCTATGTAAAAATAATTTGACCACAGATTCTTATGGAATGTCAAAATGAAAAAAAAAAAAAAACCCACAATAACATACTACAAGAGATTTTTTAAAACAAGCATTAAAAGTACCTATTATATATTAATGAGTTATCCACTAGTCATAATTTTCAGATCTGCAGAACTCCACAAAAGCATATTTTAGATATTTTATTGATTTAGAAAGTACAGACTGACTTTTGTTAAAAACAAAAATCTCTCACACTGTTCTGGCTTTTAAACTTTAACACCAAACTGTGCTTATACAGCAATCACAAATAAAAGCTGATGTAAGTTCAGTATTACAATGAAGGTTAGAGGGACTATATCTGAAAAGTAGATATTTGAGGCATCAGTATATATAGTGCAGCTTAAGGAGCCTGGGAAAGATTTAAGAAATATTGAGGCAACGAGAAATTTTACCTTGTGAGGTTTTAAAAAATAATTAACCATTACTAAAAGAAAAGAAAAGCCCACGAAATAAAATCAGATAGTATTATTTAATTGCTTATTAAGGCTATTTATAATCAATGCTATATTTGGACCTAAAAACATGAAGAAATAACCACCCTAAAATAAAAATAGATTTCTTACATTTATAGGATAATCACTGACTAGAACTTAATGCTTCCACTCACTTATACATCCTAATGTATAGGCAGAGACTTGAAATTTGAAAAACATTTCCATGTTGATTATTCTATAGATGTGAACTTTTCAGTGCAAATGTTGATTATGCTATAGATGTGAACTTTTTATACTGGCTAAAAGTCAAAACATGCTAGATTGAAACTTTAAAAACAAACAAACAAAATCAATGTTTTAGTACAGAAAAAGGAAAGTATCAATGGGGTCTCAGCTTTCCAGTGCATACAGTATTATGAATGTCTACAGCCTCTATCATTTCAAGTTTTATTCTTGAAACTGACATTCATGGTCTCAGTAACTATTCCAATAGTCTCAATGGTCTCAGTAACTATTACCAAGACCACTGATGCAAGAAATACTTATTAAGAGCTTACTATTATGTGTTTATATTTTTAAACATTTTACAGCTATACCTTTTGCTATTTTATAGACAAATATAAAAAATTATGTTAATTTAGGAGGCAGGTCAGGCATGGTGGCTCACTCCCGTAATCCCAGCAATTTGGGAGGCCAAGGTGGGTGGATCACCTGAGGTCAGGAGTTCGAGACCAGTCTGGCCAACATGGTGAAAGCCTGTCTCTACTAAAAATACAAAAATCAGGAGGGCATGGTGGCACATGTCTGTAATCCCAGCTACTTGGGAGGCTGAGGCAGGAGAATTGCTGGTACCCAGGAGGCAGAGGTTGCAGTGAGCCAAGTTTGCGCCACTGTACTCCAGCCTCGGTGACAGAGTGAGACTTTGTCTA